AGCAGTAACCCAAGGTCTGAGGGCGAAGTCATACTGCTGAGGGGGTGTGACACCAGTAGGGTGTTTCACTCAGACAACCAGCATCTGCAGAGACGCTGCCTTCTCAGAAGGAAGGAAGGGTTAGAAAAGGTCGACCCTAAAAATTTCACACCTCACCTTACCTCACGGATTTCCGTCTCCGGCGGTAAGGCCCTTTGAAGAACGGAGCTAACACGTCAAAAACCTTCCACAAAAAGGCCGTGCGCGACCGGCCTCAAGCAGTTGTCCCTTGGGCTCTGCGGTCACGCTCCCAGGTCGTCAAGACCAACACTAATACAATTTCCTTTTCAGGTTCCTTGAGAAATACCCTTCCACGGTGTGGGCAGCCGGGAAGTGACATCAGCCCTCATATCCGTAATAGCACACGAGATCATGTTCGTCACGACTGAATAAAGTAAGAACTGGTATTATGTGAGAAAAAATGTGTTTTATTAGAATCAAACAAATAATTTACAGTAATTAGTCCCTTTTTGATAGATTTCGACAGTTCCAATAATCTTCGTCATCTTATTCCACTATCAAAAATGATTTACAGTCAAGTCAAAAATATTAAACTCAACTTGTTACCTTTTTATTATCTATTAATAGCTCTTTACAAACCCATTTATGAATAGTAAACATTTGTTTTATCCTAAATAACTTGTCTATTTTGTTGTTGTTGATAACTTGATCAGTTCGTTTTTAAAAAATACAGAACTTGGTTACATAAAAGTGAAAAGTATTATTATTCCGGTTCACAGCATTATACAAATAAATCTCGATTTACATTCCAAATTATAAGTAAAAGAAATATTATTTAATTTATTGATCATAGAATATTAATATCCAACCGTTATACCTAGAAATAATAATTTTCTTAGTACTTGATATGATTCAATAGGAACGTTGGTCTTACTAACGTTACTTATTTCATATAGAGTAGTTGAATATCTTTCTTCTGAAGAATTTATTATGTTTTGAAAAAGTTGTTGTTGGATATCAAGAACGAAAGTCGATATGACTGGGTGCATTGTATATGAATAGTTGGAGGTTTCAATCAACTTAACTAAAAAACGTGTTAATTAGTTGAATCAACTGTTAATTTCTGTGTTTTTCTTGTTGTCAGAAACGGTTTTGTGGAGAGTTTAATAATTTCAATAGTTGAAATCATGAGTCAATTGAAGCTTGACCACCATGGAAAACCTGCAAGCCTTGGACGGCCGTTTCATCCTAGTATGGGACACCTCATAAGTGAGCATCCACGATCCCGCCCTCCAGCGAGACTCGAACTTAGGATCTATAAGTCTCGCTCGTGAGCGCTCAACCATTAGGCCACTGAGCCGGTATCCAACGGCGTTAATGTCTAACTTCAATGGATCCACGAAACTGCCCCACCGTCCATGGTGGTCTAACTTCAGTTGACTCATGATCTGATCTATTGAGAATAATATTCATTGAGAAAGATTAAATATATTTACGTATACATTTAATTTGTTAGCTACATCTAACAAAACATTAAAAAAATAATGATATACTTAGTTCGATTAATGTTTTGATTTCCTCATTTTGTATTCTTCCGTTTTTTTTTAATCACCTAATCTCTGTAGAAATAATTAAACACAGCATTTTTTTCAATGAAATTCAACATGATTTCTGCAATTCGAAGTACTTTATTTCATTTCCGGAGTTATGTATTAAAAAAGAATTGACTACTTTTGAATGAATTCATTATTACTTATAATATATCTGTTTAAAAATGATTAGAGACTAAATGAGTTAAGTATAATTTATTACATAGAATACTAACCTTTATTATAAATCAATGACTTCTTAAGTACAAACTGTGTAATAAAATTCAGCTTATTAATACAGTTGAAAAGAAGCAATAAATGGAATGAGTTAAAAAATAAAAATGAAAAATAAATATCCAGCGTTTACAGGTAACAGGTTACATCATTTTACTGACATTTATGTAGAAATGTTTATTCTGACTGAAATTATTTTAATTATCCGGTTAAACGTGAGTATAATCAATTAGTCATGGAATAATAATATATACAACTTTTATACTATTGTTAGAAGGGGTTTTTGTGGATATTATAGTAATTTTACTAGTTGAGATCACGAGTCAATTGAAGCTAGACCACCACGGAAAACCTGGAAGCGCTGGACTGCCGTTTTGTCCTACTGTGAGACTCCTCATCAATGCGCATCTTTGATCCCGCTTCGCGTGATTCGAACGATTGACCTATCGGTCTCGCGCGTGAACGCTTAACCTCTAGACCAATAAATGTAAAAAATATTCATGACAAGTATATATAGTCTTTAGATTTACGGTATAATATACTGTAATAAGAAGTATACAATCCCAAAATGTACATAATAATACTTTATATTACCAACGTAATTTTCATTACTCAGTATGTGGTTCATTTTCCAGTTTTCCTAACTTATCGATCATACGTAAATATTCAGATAGGGGTGTTGTGGTATATTTAACAAACTCATTCCGTTAAAAGTATTTGATCATTTAACATTTTAATTGTTATGTATAGTTCCAAACTGTTTGATTTGATCAATACATTAACAAAGTTATTCTTATAAATGAGAATGGTAAATTCGATAAACGTGGATAAATGATGAATAGTCAGTAGAGGAAAAATACCGACTGTGAAATCCTCTCCTTTTTCAGCCAAAACATTATAAGCTTTAAAAGTCAGAATTCGTAATAGCTTAGAGAATTCATACCAAAATAAATATTTAAATAAACTTAATATTTGAATATGTCGTAAGTGTTTAGAGAATGACATTTCAATAGTATTGAAATGAAACTTTTGTAGAAACTTTAAAACGTGAACTGAATTTAGCTAGACAATGATTCTGAAGAAAACATCATTGAGAAGCCACTTTGTTCTTGTAGGGATTTTAACAGTTCTCATCCATTACTTTGTTGACAGTGAAATTTAGAATCTTTTGATCTCATGGTAAGAATTATATTTGCTTAACAACAACTTGATAAATAATGGTTTATATTTCCAAATTCAATAGTTACTACTTATTCATTTACTGTGAAGAAATGGCTTACATTAAATAACGAAACGTCAGAGATACAATTTTTCTACTCATTGTGATATATCAAAAAGTTTATTTATTATCGACTTTCTACCCAATTCTTAATTTATTCAAAACTATCAAATCCAACCTTGGCATTGATACCTACCTTTCTAAATTCACTCTGGCAAAAGGATTATCTGGTCATCATCTAGTAATCACACGCATTTAGTGTAAATATGTAAAACGATTTTTCCTCAGTATAAAATATTCTCAGTAACACTACGCTAATACTTAGTGGAAAAAAAGTAGAGAATGAAATAGCCTATGAAATTTTTATAAAGGAATGACCACCGGTGTATTAATTGATAAAATATTTCAGTTCATTACTGAACTTAAATTTCAAAATTAACATAAAAATATAAACAAAGATGGATGGTAGCTAGCAATAAAATCTACGACGCACGTTCCATCCTATTTGGGACGCGTCAGCTGATAGTACCTGCATTTCAGAGTTAATTTCCACTCTAAAACTCGAATCCAGATGCAGGTACATTCAACTGAAAAGTCCCAGATAGGGTAAAATACGCGTCCTGGATTCTAATGCTAGCCATTATCCATCTTTGCAATTCCGAGGCGATACGCACATTATGCACACATGCCAATAAGAGACTGATCAATTGCAATCCCAAACACCAGTGGGAAGATTCAAGTAAACAATACTACCTGAATTTAACATAAAAATACTTATTATCAATATTTCATTTTATTGTATATCAATGTATTTTTCGTTTATTATTTAACCTTAAACAATAACCATGTACTTTTAAAAATTCTACTACTGATATCCATTATCATATAAGCTTGAACGCTTGGAATAATTGATGAGATCACTCTTTATCTCTGTATGTGTGCGCAAGCGAACACCGTACACTGGATTAAAATATACTTTGAATTAATAATCAGAAATTAATATGTATCACTTTGGTTATAAATAGTTAGTATGGGGATTTGTGAAGATGTAGTACTTCCACAGTTGAAGTCATCAGTCGATTTAAACCATTCAATAGTTTTACGTTTTCAATGGTGGTCTAGCTTAGATTGACTCGTGAATTCAACAGTGAAAATAAAATGTTATCTGAACTGTTGCACGAACCAAAATTTACATTGAACATATATGTTCAAAATAAAGAACTATCGTTTATATTAAGTGAAGAAATAAAGTTCGAACCTATAGAGATACATTCACTTTCTTAACTAACATTCAACCATGTCGTCTGTGAGGTAGTTATCCACCAAAGACTATAGATGAAGTTTACGTAATACCATGAATTAATTGAAGGTAGACCACTGAATGCGAGCTCAGTGGTATTTGAAATTTACCAATATTGCACGTCCACTACACCACGAAGGATGGAATCCAGAACCACCGACTTTGAATGCTCACTGGTGACTAGAATCTAGAGGTTCTTCCAGGAGTTCTTGTAGAAACACATCATCAGTGGGTTACAGAAATTTTGAGTGTGAAACATTTAAACACCTCCTACGATGTAATATGGTTGACCAGTATCGTGGACTGAGTGAAGTTAGAAATGTATACAACTTAATTTTGAACCAGTGGTATATATGTTAAGCTCTCGACACGAGAACGACGTTTCTTGGTTGGTCCTGGATGTACGTTATCGAGGGGTCCTGTACTAAAATGAGGCAGTTCTACAGTGCTCGCTGGTTTCAAATGATTAAATGATGCCAGTCCGTGATAAAAACTATGAAACATTCATCACTTTTCACAAACGTCCCATGCGAAAAATGAATTTGTTCATGCACAGTGAAATACCTGTTTTTTTCTGTAAGTAAGAAAACTGTCTAATTTGCACGTACTGATTAAATTGTTAATTGTTTTTAATCTAACATGTGTTTTGCCATTCTAGATATACTGCAATCATGTTTCCTCTTCGTCCACGTTCAAAACTGAAGACAGTTATTTGTGCAATTGTAGCTATTTGGTTAATTTCGTTTGCAATTGGATTGCCTGGATTAATTGTAGCTACAGTTTATCCAAAAAACTTATCAAACTTACAAAATATAGCAAATAGTACAGATTTACTTGTTGTTGTGAAACAAATCTCGGTTAACTCACCTGATCAATATGTTTCGAATGATTGTATTCTTAACTGGTCATCAGAGTGGTCTGAAGCGTAAGTTATTGATTGTTTTAGAAAACAAATTGGTTATCTGGAAATAATTTCAAATATTCTGGCCGTCATAAACATTAGTAAACATCCGTTATTTACATGAAAACTTGTATTGAACAGAACGCACGGCTATCACACTCAAAATGGTGCGTTTATGGTAATCCAATACAGTACAGCACAAGATGAAATGAGCAAGAGTAGTACTGGTGATTTCCTAAGTCCTGTTTCGATTTGCTTCATTAGTTACAATGTGACAAAAGTGCGAAAACATGGCGCGCAACTCTAAAGTGTACCAGTCACTATGTGCGGTACACGGCTATGACATATATACACTTCATAACTAAATTCAACGAAACACTTTACAAAATGAATGTAAACTTCGCCCCATCGCACAAGCTACTGGATGTCAGAACTCAGTAGTTAAGTGTATAACGCAATGCAGGTAGATCCAACTGACGAATCCCAAATAGGATGAAACGCGTGCCCCGGATTCCACTGCTAGCTACCATCACTCTTTGCTTACCATACAAAGACCGTACAAATCATTTTAAAATGATCTATAAAAATTAAGAAAGTTGAATGCTTATTTTTTTCAATAGTTGAAATCATGAGTCAGTTAAAGCCAGACCACCATGGAAAAACTGGAAGCACTGGACGGTCGTTTCGTCCTAGTATGGGACTCCTCCCCAGAACCTATCAGTTTTGCGCGCGAGCGCTTAACCATTAGACCACTTAGCCGGTATCCAACGGTGTTAATGTCTATCTCCAACCAATCCACGAAATTGCGCTACCGTCGCCATTATCTACACAACCTAAGTTGACTTTGGTTCAGGAATTAATTTTATGTCAGCACACTAAATTACATTATAGATTTTCAACTCATTTACAAAAGCGAATTTCATATGAAAACGGTGAGATTGTAATTTATGGACAACCGTTGAGTGACGCTAAAATGAACTTGAGAATGTCCATTTACTTACCAGAGATAAATGAGGATTATGTAGCACTTTGAAGAATAAGGATTATGATTTATAATTAATGGTTAGGATTAAGAATTAGATTTATGGTTTGCATCACGAACTGACATTAGCTTGAATGTCAAAACTCTATTTAACCGAACGGATGAATGAATTTTGAGCCAAAATCCAAGACCTATAATCTTATACCTGATTGGTTCGTCCGCAAATTATAGTCTCGCCGAAAAAAATTTTTTTAAAGCATTAAAACTAAATATTTACAAAAGATACCTACTTTAAGCATTGAACTATAAGTTTTAAATTATATATACTGTGGTACATATAAGTAGTATGTAACACCAATTGGAAGTGGAAAACCTGGAATCAGAAAGTTAAGAAGATAAAGTTGAATAGAATATAAGGATATTGTGAAGTTGAAGTATCATACGGAATGTGAAGGATTAATGTTGAAAATTGGCAAATAAAGTATTCAGTGTATGGTTCTTATATTTTACCAAGATACTGTATAATTTAGCATTAGAATATATTGGTCGTACCCATGTGTTTTTGTTCATTACAGTACGTTGTTTTATTTCATAATGAAGTGATAATTTAATCATGGAAGTTTTTTTTTAAAAAAGGGAATAATGTTTTGTTACTCAACATATTTATTTTATAGGTACGATTATACACTTTTTGTGTTAATGTATGTTCTTCCTCTTATCATACTTGCCACAACTTATATTCCAATATCAATTCATTTATGGTTTCATAGAGGACTTGGTGAAGTCACTAGGGCACAAGCCCAAAATGTTCAGTCGAAAAGACGAGTAAGTAATCCAATATTATATAATTATTTCTTTGAATGTTGCCTTAAGTAATGTTGTATCCTAAACGTTCACTAGGAACGTCGATAGGATTAAACTTGCATTAGGATTTCAATGGAATAATTGCTAAGTACAGCACAGGTTTTGTAATGTTTCAAAAATAGTGATTAACATATCAGATGATTGTAATCAGTAAATTTCGGGTAGGTACACAGATACACAGTAGTAAGACTACAAAACAAAAATTCTACCTTGCTAAGTAACAAGGAATTGTTTAGAAAACATTGGACGCCACATCTCATACAGTGAATTCGTCTCAAAATGTTTTCACTTATGCGTGATGTATGCACGGTGTTCACAAAAAATAAATTTGGTAAATTTATCATTCTAATAATTATTCTGTCATCAAAACATATTAGTATTTTAGCTCTAGTTAGTACCATACCCAATTGCTATTTTTAGTAATAACTCGTGGATATTTTGTACGTTACTTACTTACGTATGTTCCCTTCGTGGAGGAGAATAAGCCACCCACCAAAATTATCCATCCAACCCTGTCATGGATTGGTTTTATTCATGTTTGATTCCAATTCCCGATGTAGTGTGTTCTTTGGTCTTCCTCTTTTCCGTTTCCTTTCAGGATCCCGAGTTAGCGCTTGTCCCGTGATGCAGTTTGGTGACTTCCGTAACGTATGTCCTATCCAAGTCCAATGTCACGTCCTAATTTCCTCTTCAGCTGAAAGCTTGTTTATCCGCTCGGATAGAGAGCTGTTGCTGATGGTATCCGGTTAACAGACATTAGGTATCTTGAGTAAACAACTGTTTATAAATACTTCTACATTTTGATAGTGATAATGGTAGTTCTCCAAGTTACACTGCTGTAAAGTAGAACTGTTTTGACGTTCGTATTAAAGATTCTGACTTTGATATTGATTGACAATCGTTTTGAGTCCCATATGTTCAGAAAATGTAGGAATGCTGTCCACATTTTGCCATTCCTTGCCTTTCTCTCTGCATCAGATCCTCTTTGTTCATCAGTGATGCTGCTCAAGTACTTTTTATATGTATAGATCCTCAAAATCCTGTAGCTCACATCATGTGTTCATTAACTTCCTAATTATAAACTATAACAAGACATATATTACCTTAATACTAATAAGGATCCATGAAGTTTATTGTAAAAACTAAATTCAATTTATTTGTTAATTTGTTTATCAGAAGCATTTTTTAAAAAGAAAGTTCGTTTAAATATTTTCTTAAAACATCTTTCTTTTTTTAATATTTTACCCGTTTCACTTCTCTTAAAGGCAGTGAAAATGTTATGTGCAGTTATGTTGATATTTGCAATCTGTTGGCTTCCATATCAATTATTTTTCATTCTGTTACAATTAAGTCCAACAATTAAAAGTAGTCATAGTTTACCGATTATATTTATATGTTGTTATTGGTTAGCAATGAGTAATTCAATGTACAATCCAATTATATATGTTCTAATGAATAAAAAGTAAGCTGATATTTAACTGTATACAATAAATGTATTATATTTTACTTTTAGTTTTGAGAAAATAACTCGATTTTTTTTCCTTATTACAGTCATTATCGCTTGTTATTATCTTTGATCATGCTATCTGTTGTTTGATGCGAATCGAGTAATGTTCACCAGGTTACAACGAGAATACTAATATATGTTACGTGATATCGTATTTCCTCAAGGTCATTTAAGAATCGTTAAAATGTCGTCTAAAAATTATAATCTCATCGGAATTCAAGAAACATTTTAACTGAATTTCACTTTCAACTATCAATATCTGAAACATTCTTAGATTACTTCTGTCCAAACAATATCACTTTGTACGAAATCAGATTATTTGTAGTACAATACTAAGTAATAAATATATATTTCATTAACTGTAATTGACGAACAGTAAAAGGTATAACAATGGTGAATGTGTTGAATGAAAACTTTTAGTTAAGACAATACATTCATTAAATAATGTTTTTCAAAGTTTCATTCATTCATTTGGTTATTTCTAACAGAAATGATAGAATGTGTAGTACTGTAACTAATGCAAGGTATTAGATAAAATTGACACTTCTTCATTATCATGATTTAGATCTTTAGATTCAAGAATAATTCATGCAATTTTTATTCAGTCTTCTCTTTTTTCTTTGTTCAGTCTCATATTACAATCAGTGTTAGAAATATGTCAATTCCTCTACCATTCATCTGATTATTTTGTTATTGAAATATAAGATTTTTGAACATTTGTGAATGATCAAAAAAAATTAATCACAACTGACAGACTATCAAATGTTCTTTTTTCCCTTATTTTGTAAGCTTCGTTTGATGACTAAAGAAGACAGTACATTTATATCCTCAGTAATAAGTGAAGGCTATAACTAAATATTTCAAAGTTCTCTTGTTTTTTCTGGAATTGATTTGTGCATAACGTTTCTACAATTGATTAATCACTGGGTGGTAATCAATGTCATATATATCAGGTCCTTCTTAGTGCATATCGAATCCTATCAACCAAATTACAATGTAGCTACTAGTCTAGGTGACTTGACATTGCATGCATTATGTTGACATAAGATAGTGGGTTTTCTATTGACTACTCCCAACCACTATCTTAGCATAAAGTCTCAACTATTTTCATGCTGACAAAGTTTTTTTTCTGTAACAAAACAACAAAATTACCAGTTGTTTTATACAATAAAAACAAAATGAATCAAATTTGACAATGAAAAATCAGTTGTATGACTAAGGTACAACGTATGTTAGTCTATGAATGTAAAATTATTACCAAGGAAAACTTTAAATAATCATAGGATTAATAAGGAGAACATTTACCACGTTATGGGTTATAATCTTTTTGATCTTATCTATAAATTAATACCACCAGTGAATTGAGTTTTCTAAATTTTTTTATTTTTAAATATTGAACTTATTTCACATAGAATCCATTGAAATCTTATTTATCATTGAACAATTTAAGGTATTCCATGTAATTATATTAACCTCTAAGCACATCACATATCCTTGACTGGATAACATCAGACAAAATAAAGTTGGTTGACATCATAAAGAGTTACACAACTAATTTCTATGCAGTATATTGATTACGTGCATGAGTGTACAAAATTAAACGTACAACCTTTTGTATTGTAGATAACAACTTAATGGTCCCATTTCCGCTTCTATTGTATATGACACAACAGAAATGATAATTAAATATAATAAGAATATTCTCATTTGCTCGATTTTTTTAAAGTTTCATCATAAATACGTTATCCTAAAGTTTGGTTTAACAAAATCACAAACTAGATTCTGCTATAGACTGTTAACTAACAACTGGTTTATGTTATTCATAATTATCTTATTTACAAATGTCAAACAGAAGCATAAAGCTTGTTTTTATCACCAATTATTAGTTTATGACGTGATTGAAGGTTTACTTAAAATAAATTTATCATCATTTGTTAATAAGTTAAAGCATATGCCATTGAATTGACTGTAATGTCAGTTGCTATGTCGAGCCCTCATAGTTTATTCTAGTTTCCGGGCCGACTAATTTATTCATTTTTCATGAATCATATTTTCGACCTTGTTATTTATTCGCTTATCAACCCTGTCTGTTTTTATGTATGCGTGTGTGTGTGCATATCTTATCCTACTCATCACATGTCTGTAACTTATTTTTGTCTGAATATAAATATGATTTCACGCTTGATTATGTTGAACTGGCTCACATGCTTTCTCCAACGCGCCTCATTTCACTTCGCTTTCTTCGCTTCGTTTCTCCGATCGATTGTCTGTTCAGATCAACGATTGTATGAAATATACGCATTCAAAGTAATTCACCAACGCGATTTAATTTTATAATAATATGCGAGTATTGGCGACAAATGTATTTCAATAGCAATTAAAAACTACCTACGTGGAGTCAGGTCTCAGCTCACTATTTGGCTCTATTTTTATAAAATGAATGATTCTTTTTGTTAAAACCCAGTGGTATGTAATCAGTGTGATTGCATTTTGATAGCGGCACAAAAAACGTCATTTTAAAATTTACTAAAATTTATATTGTCATTAAACATACAATCTACTAAATCTATTCTTTTGTAGCTAATGGTCAAAATCAACAAGATATGTGTGCGTGTTATTTACGACTTAAGTGAAAACAATTAAGAGAACCGGCTCATACATTTAGATTTAATAAGTGTTCTAATTATTAACAAATCTGATCTAAATAAAGAAGATTTCTAGTTAGATAAATTAATTTACTTTATTCGTAAGTGCTTTTTATCACAAATCATTGCTCTGACTTATAGTTTTATGCTCCATTTAAAAAAAAATTTGCTAAGCTTAAAATACATTTTTAGAATTTTATTTCCACTGAGCCGGCATCTAATGGTGTTAATCTCTAACTACAACCAATCCAAGAAACAATGCCACCATCTTCCATTGTCTGAGGTAGATACTTGTCTTTACATGACACAGATTAGCTTTACTGATCACGACTGTTCACTAGAACTCCGAGAATTCCCTCCCAACGTTAGTCACTAGTAAGCTCATGGTAATTATCAGTATGAGGTTGCGGAGATTATTGAGTTTTTACTTGACATCACGAACCGATTAACGTTAGACCACCATTGAAAACCTGTAAGAACTGGACGACCGTTTCGTTCTAGTATAGAACCCCTCAGTAACAACCGCATACTGATAATTAATTTTACGTTCAAAAAAAGTAGAATTATGTATTTCACAATGAAAAATAATTTGATTATCTTCACTTTTTCTGTAAAAAAAATTATCCAAAAAATTAAAAGTAGTAACCAACACATTTAATAATATTCACTTTATCACAAAATCACATTGATCTTCTGATCTGAAACTTGAAGGAAATTTATAATTGCTTCATTTAGCTATGAAATAAGAAAGATCACTTCAATGAAGAGTTCTCTTTTGAGTGAACGTATAATCAACATTTTACAGTCAATATATTTCATTGATCTTAATCAAGTCATCTAAACACAATACATTAATATCAATTAATGTCTTTTACTTATTTCAATCATCTTATATTAACGCTTATGGCTTACCAACATTTTATTTTTATTTGTATTAATATAACTAACAGAATATATATATACACTTCACTTGTAGAATAATAAACATTGAATTAATCATTATTAGTGTATCACAATTCACAAATACTATATATTTATTATTGAACTTAAAAAGTATTTCACTAATTACAATTATACTCCTGTGATTAATCTGAATTATGATATCAATTCGAAACAATATGTGTCATTGTTACCTACTTACTTACGCCTGTTACTCCCAATGGAGCATAGGATGCCGACCAGCATTCTCCAGCCCACTCTGTCCTGGGCCTTCCTTTCTACTTCTATCCAATTCTTGTTCGTTCTTCTCATGTTTGTCTCCATTTTTCGGCGTAATGTGTTCTTTGGTCTTCCTCTGCTCCTTTAGCCTTGAGCATTGCAAGTGAAGGCATGCCTTGTGATGCAGTTCGGTGCTTTCCTCAATATGTGTCCTATTCACTTCCAGCTATTCTTCTCGATTTCCTCCTCCACCGAAATGTGGTTTGTTCTTTTCCATAAAGAGTTGTTGCTGATAGTGTCCGGCCAACGAATCTGAAGTATTTTGCGTGGACATCTGTTAATAAATACTTGTATCTTCTGGATGATGGCGTTCGTAGTTCCCCAAGTTTCCGCCTTATACAATAGAACTGTCTTGACATTTGTATTGAAAATTCTGAATTCGCTGTTGGTTGCCATGGCATGTATCATTGTAACCAAAGATAATAAGTGATTATTTTATGAAAATCTTATTCGTTGAGTAATTAAAGCAATGAGTTTGTAGATAAGATAATGGACTATTGAAGCAGACTTTGACTCATAAAGGAAATTATTTAAATGTAATATCTAGTTATTCAATTTTGTTTACATTTTTTTATCTTTCAAATCACAAGTAGATACATATTACTTATTGACAAAAGTTGATGTTACTTAGTTTTGAAATGATTCTTTTAATGAGACAATAAAATGTATTTAAAGTTTTTTTTCTTCCTTCTTGATACTTGGAAACAATCTTTTACAACATTAGTATATTCATTTATTTGTATTCACTAACGGATCAAAGAAAATCTTATCCATACTGTATAATTGATTATATAGTTAGCTACTTTGTTGTATATTTATCCCTATTCGTATAAGGTTTCAAAAGAATTTTCAATACGTGGGAAATTTCAAAATAAAACGGGTTTAAACTGAAATAAATAAAAATAATCATCTTTAGATTGTTTTTTAAATTACAAATAAGAATTTTCTTTGATATATACAAAATAGGTATCCAGGGATTAAGCTTAATAATTAGAAATGAATTCACAAAATTAGAAACTTTACAATATGGAGTAAGTATTAAAGTAATCTGTTGGACTATACATAAAACTATACAGTAGTTTTAAGGACAATAAAATATGAATATGATGTAAAGTGCTTATAAATTTAAATTATCAAAAAGATATTGCATATATATATATTAAATATTTTCTTCAAAAAGATAGCACAAATTTAACTGGTTCCTAGATTAAAAATGTTTCTAACATGATGACTAGTGGTTAGCAGTGGAATCCAGAACACGCGTCTCGTCTTATTTGGGACTCGTTAGCTAGATGTGCCTGCATCGTAGAGTTGATGTTCACTCTGTGACTCGAACGCAGCACCATTCGCTTCAAACGCCATCGCGTTATCCACTCAGATACATCCAGCCGACGAATCCCAAATAGGATAAAACGCGCATTCTGGATTCCACTGCTAGCCAGTATCCATCATTGCTTACAAATAGCTTGTGAATTAAGGCAATATAGAGGCATACGCACAGTATGCACATATGCCAATTACAGACTGATCAATTACAGTCCTAAAACTCAATGGGAAGATACAAGCCAAACAATACCAAGTGTTTCTAACATGTTTTTAAATTTTTAAGTGTTTTCTTTCAACTGGGTCTGTTGTGAGTTATTAACTCACTGATGACAATGGTGGACGGTGGCACAACTTCGAGGATTGGTTGAAGTTAGATATTAACACTGTTGGATCCCGACTTGGTGATCCAGTGTTTGAGTGCTCACACGAAAGACCCTGGGTTCGAATCTCGCGAGGCAGGTTCACAGATGCTCACTGATGAAGCGTCCTACGATAAGATGAAACGGTCATCCAATGGTTCCAGGTTTTTCATGATGTTCTAGCTTCAGTTGACTCATGAATTCAAATATTTGGTTTTCTTATTTGTTTTATTCGAACAGTTAATTTAGATACTTCTCATTTATAAATTATTTTCCACTAACCATGAAAACAATGCAAACTAGCCCCTTTGGGGATACTGCTGGCCCCAAGCCCGGATGAAGGAGGAGAGTTGAGCATGGGGTTAACGATTCCATCCAGTAGAAAACTGACTCGCTAAAAAAGCGCTAAAACGCTAAACAATTTTTGCTAAAACTAATGAATTGATCAATCAGTCAGTAAACAATAGTACACTTCACAATGCGTTGTCAACTCTTTATTTTCATAAACGGTATTTTACAGTTACAGATAACACTCCTTAATGCAAGATCTACCATTCAGTTCTGGTTTCTTATCAAAATATAATTTGTATGTACAGTTACGAGCTACGTTTCAGTTTATAAAATATATATAAGACACTTCAATGTTTAGTATAATAACCGCTATATAGTTAATGATTTTAAAGTTATTTTCGTGAAATCATTAACTGTTTTAGAAAATGAAACTCAATTTACAATTTTTTTAACAAAAACATTCAATTGATATTCCATGCCAGTATTCAAGTACATTTTACACTCTAATATACAAATTTGTTTTCCATGTGAAAGAAAAATAAAACGTAATCTACTGAATTGGATAAATTTGACAGAACTAATAGTTACGTGCTGATATATACATAAATATTTCATATAGCAAATATGGAAATGAAATAGACACTTGACTAACTTATAGCCAATTTAATAAGCTTAGATTCGATTATACATTATGTTCCAAATATGAAAGATCATTCATTTTATTTACAAATGTCCAGTGATCTCGAGCTTAGGCGTTATCGCAAGAGATCGATAGGTTCTGGGTTCGGATCGTGGATGAGCACTGTTGAGGAGTTCAACAATAGAAAGAAACGGCCATCCAGTGCTTCAAGGTATTTTATGATGGTCTAGCTTCAATTGGCTCATGATCTCAATTATTAAATGTTCAATGTTTGTAAAATTACCAAACTTACATAAATTTACAGTAGTTTGATAAATAAACTGCTTCTACATAAAAAGTTACTAAAGGAATACATTCAGAAATGAATGTAAAATTAAAAACCTCCAATATAATTGATTTTTAAAATTTTGCATTTTCTCAATGGATATATTACATAGATTATCACGATAATTAATAATTAGGAATGATAATAAAATGGAAACAATATAACATTGTTTAGTTATTTGAGAAATTTCTTCTGTAGGGCTTTACCGTTATTGGTGGTAAAAACTGATGTTTGAGGGTATTTTTTAACGTATTTTCATCCTAGGTAGATTTATTAGATTGTAATGCTAAGTCGCAAGCATCTTTAGGCAAAAGTTTGATAGTAGCCGGCGGTGGATTTTAAAATGTGAATATCATCTTATTTGGGGTTTTTCAGTTGGATATACATACACTCTAGGACTCGAACACAATATATTTCACTTCTAACATCCATTCCATTATCCATTCAGTCCATATAGCTATATGCATTCCTCTAATGTTATTTTGTTCCAGGATTTTTTCTTGCTAATAATATGGTTTTGTGTTTTTCTTTCTTTTTTTCATTAAAAAATGACAATTATCAACTGCTCAAAATCGAATCTCAACTATTTTCTACCATGATACCAATAAACTAAAACAAAACAGGTTTCGTAAAGGATTTTATGCAGCATTTTCATGTTTTCCGTATTGTCGTGAATACATTAAAAAAGACAAGAAGATTAGAACGACTGCGACATCAATTCGTACATCACAAGTTTGAATATGAAATATTCTTATTGGTTATTCAGTGGAATATTCCATTTCATCATAATTACATATCACGATGATGTAATAATTGACTATATTGGATTATATTTCGAATATCTCAATACATGTTATTTTATGGTGAGATATACTAGTGGATGTACGATTTCTGTTGTGAATTACGAGAATTAATGAAGAAAGACAAGTTCATTTTTAATTATGCATAAACTTAGACAAGTTGAACCATATTACACAGTTAAATTAATTATATAAAATGTGATTTTACATGTCTATTTCTCTCTGTTATCAAATATACGTATTTGACTTTAAGAATCCTTTTATAAAATTTAATATTTTTCTTTAAAAAGAAAAAAATATTCGACATGACTTCAAGATTACTAGCAATACTTTAAGTAGGAATGCAACATTCGAACATAAATAGATATTATACATACAATAGATTTTGTAGTGATTCAAAGGTTTCTAATCAGAAATCATAATCTATCCTTAAAGACAAATTCACTTGGTATTGTTCACTTGAATCTTCCCATTGATGCATAGGATGGCAATCGATCAGTCTCTTATTGGCATATGTACATAATGTGCATATTGTCTCGATATTGTCTTAATTCACAAACACTCTAAGCAAAGATGGATGGTGGCTAGGAGTAGAATCCAGGAAGCGCGTTTCATCCTATTTGAGACTCTTCAGATGGATGTACGTGCATCTGGGTTCGAGTCTCAGAGTGGACATCAACGTAAAAATGCAGGTACGTCCAGGTGTCGAGCTCCAAATAAGAGGAAACGCGCGTCCTGGATTCCATCGCTAGCCACTATCCATCTTTACTTGTCTTGGGAGACGTCGGTATTTAGTATTTAAGAGCGTTTACGAATAAAACGCTCTGTTATTTGGTTTCCTCAAAAACAATATACATAATTAGTAAAATCCAAGGAATATACCGAATTGAAGCATTACTATTTATCCAGAAGTCAAATAGTAGAAGGTAATAAAATAAATGAATTCTATTTCATTTAGATCTTGTCATGAGTTCAAAACACAGTTTTCACTTGATACATTACATAAAAGAAATTCATTTACCTCCCTTTTTCTAAATCACAAGAATGCAATTAAATAAGATATTCAGAAGAAAAGGCTATTCATTGTTTTTACAAAAAAACAACCGTAGAGAAAATAATAACTGAAATGTAACAAATACTTAAGTGTATTAAACAAATATACTTTTCTATTTTTAAACCATTAAATAATAGAGAAGAATCTTAACAATGATAACACGTGAGTTAATGTAATGATTATAATTAATTAGAGAAAAATCAAATTATTATCATTATTATTACCGAACTCACATACCAATTAAAACTGGTAAATTGTCTAACTTAAACACGGTCACGGCTTCCCATTCGAACTCCGAGACTTCCCTCACGAAGCTAGTCACTAGTGAGCTAATCCGTGTCGCGTAGAGACAGGTATCTACCTCAGTACATTGGAAGATGGTCGCGTGATTTCGTGGATTGATTGAGGTTAGACATTAACACCGTTGGATGCCAGCTCAAGGGTCTAGAGGTTAAGCGTTCGCGCGTGAGACTTGAGTTCGAATTTCGCGAGGTGGGATCGTGGATGTGCACGATTGAAGAGTCCCTCAATGGGACGAAACGGCCGTCCCGTGCTTCCAATGTTTCGATGGTGGTCTAAAATCAATCGGTTAATGATCTTAATCAAAAACTTAATAATCTCCATAACCGTATACTGATAATTGTTTAAATTAGTTGTAATATTCATAACTTCACACTCTCAATGATAAGTATAGCTTTATTTATTTATAAATTCTTAGGTTACTTTAAACATTTACATTTGAATAAAAATTAAAATAAACAAGATTGTATATTCACTATGAAAAGCATATTTCCATCATTTGATAACAGTATTAGTTAGTATTATGTTGTCTACTTCTTGTTATTTAAAATGTGCTTTCAATGCAGTTGTAATGCTGGTAAAAAAATTATACAAAATACGCAAATCAACAGTTCAGAGCTCATAAGACATATCGTAGATAACTAATATTATTAGGCATTTTATGGTTATTGGAAGGCAATCATTTTGACATTTTATGTATATGCACAGTAAACTTTATAATTCTGACAAATAGTTAGCTAAAAATTCTACTTCAAAGATTCTATACATTAAGCTACTGACAGTATGAAAACGACTTGGTGAATTACTAAATAGGCGGAAAATTCTTTTTAACCACGTATTATCATGATTACACTGAGAGCTAACAAATGACTTCAGTTTTCTGTAAGTAGCGGCATTTTTTTAAATATTAGAGAAAAAATTCCTGAAGATCCGGATTATATAAAATTCGTTGTTGTACCTATATACACACGATAATATATATATAGCGCGGGAAAAGGAAGATTGTCACGCTCTATTTATTAAAATATTGTCTCCTTTATTTCATGAATGTTATTTTACAAACTATAAATCAAATTATGATTAATTATGCGGTGTTTGCCCATAACCATTAATCTACAGTCCTACTTATAAGACAAAAATTCCTTTTTTCGACATAAGACTTCCCACTTTATTTAATTATTTAATAGAAAGTATGGTGTCGTTATAGAATAAGTGTTTGCTCTGCAGGGTTAAATTTAGTACAGTTTGGACCTGAATACAGCAGGTAGAGTACTAAAATATTCGCCATATATATATATATATATATATATATATATATATATATATATATATATATATATATATATATATATATATATATATATATATATATATATATATAGTTTGCAGTGATTCTCTTCATAACTTGTACCATAAGTCGATTATTCTAGTGGCCAAAATAATAAAACCTTAAAGATGGTTTATTAAATGACATTTAGAGAAATCGTATGTTTTCTACACAACATTACCTCCATTTTATTAAATTAACTGCTTTGTTAGGTAGACAAAATACCTATAGAATTCTCACTTTAATAGAGTCAAATATATCACTAGTAAACCTGACTTATTATTACTAACAGGATGCATTGCTTAATTCGCCTAATTTTGTGTAAAACAAATTGTTTTCTCCATAAATTGACAAGTTCAATATTACTCTAATCATCCTTAAAAATACTTGATTGTTATATAAGTGGTTACGTTTGCCAGAGCACACTTTACCTAACTTTCGAAAACAAACTCAATACAGGCTAATTGACCTCATCATTCGGTTATTGTAAAAAAATCATAGTTTCAATAAGCTAAATAAAAAGTTCTCAAATTATTTTATTGAAATATGACTTGAGTTTATATTTGATTAATTGATTGGCTTACAGTAAATATAAAAACTAATCTTTCTATCCTAATTTACAAAAAACTGACGGACAACTATGTTACAATGTACTTTTACTGTATGATCAATATCTGTTACATTTATACCAAAGTTATGATCTGTGTTAATTACAACGAAAATTCATTGATTTTAAAGTATTTTCGAAATAAAATTGATTTAAAGATACTTTTAATTTATAAGAACACTTTTCATTTGAGGAAGAAAACTTTCCCAGTAACTTAGGTTACACATGTCATTGCTTTTACTGTCTGGTAACATTCAACTGAAATCTGAAACCATCCGTTTAATGGGTCTCAACAACTTAATAATTAGTAAATTTTATGTAATCTTTTTTATCATTATGAACCAAAATTTACTTGCACAGTTCTTGCCAGAATGTATAGTGAAACTATCACAATTAATTGATCACTGTGTGGTGATTAATGTCATGTGTCTCGATTCCTTTTTAGTGCAAATCGAATGCTGTCGACCAAGTTGCAATGTGAACACTAGTCTAGGTGACTCGACATTGCGCGCCCTATGTTGAAATAAGATGGTGGTTGGAGGTAGTCAACAGGAAACTCTGGACCTGGGTTTCGTGCTACTTGGCACTCGTCATCAAGGTGTACCTGTAATCTTGTGGGAACTGGTGCTACCTGACGGATTCGATCCCGTGTCACCCAGCTTCACAGTCAGAGACGTTACCACTGGGATATCTGGGCCGCGACCAACCTCTTGTTTAATGAAACAACATGGATAAAATAAGATGTTCACAATATTGTACAAACAATGACGTTTCAATTGTTTATAGATTTTATACGTAACTACATTTTTAAAAAAGAAGCAATGGATAATTCAGTGAGGGTAGGTTTTCGTTACGACGATGGTAATTATTAAAGATATGCAATCGTATTTATAGTTAATTAGTACACAGAGGTCCAGAACAGAGGTGTTTTGAAGTATTGAAAATTGTGTAATAAATCAAAAAGAAAATAGATTACAAACGAAAGATCAATATCGACTTAACGCATATTAAGAAACTGTGAATATGGAGTGATGTTACATCATAAACTGTTTTAAAGTACCAAATACATAGATATGTTGCAATATATTTTGGATAAAAAATTGATTAACTATCACGTCCATGTGAACAAACGTTTGAAAACTATAGATAATTGTTATTACAGTTAAAACGTTGTAATTGAATACCACATTTAGAGTAATCTGTTGTATTTTACGTTTTAAAAATGGTTTCTGAAGATAAAATAACAATGATGGTTCTTAATATAAACCTTAACATTTATGAAGACAAAATTGAACTCATGAGTTAATTTAAGCTAGAACACCATTGAAAATTTAAAAGCATCGGACGGCCGTTTCGTCCTAGTATGGAACTCCTCAGTGGAAAGCATTCACAATCTTTCAGGTGGGGTTTGAACAAAGGACCAACCCAGTGGTCTAGAGGTTAAAAATTTGCTTGAGACACCGAAAGTCATGGAACCGAGTCCCGAAAATAGTACAATCTCCACAAATTCCAAAAAACATTTTATGAATACGTCTGGAAAATTAAAATAGCCTACACTGTCGTCGTATGACTGAATATAAAAATATTTCATGCAAATATGAATCAAAATTTGCATGTAAATTAGCTTATTTAATGTTTCTATAAATAATCAAGAACAATTTGATATTAAACAAGGAATTTTAAAATAATGATTAGGTTAGCAGACTTATTTTCAATGTCCATGACTTTCTAATTTTAAAGAACGATTTCAACACACATAATATACCAATGCTCAAATAGTATATTTAATAATTTTAGTTCTATTTCAATATAACTAATACAATAATGATGTTGAAAACTGAAGTTCTTCTTAGTTAAAATTTGATTGGATCTAACATTTCAACTGTTGACAATTTTATACTTTCTGTAGTTGAAATCATGAGTCAATTGAAGCTAGACCACCATGGAAAACCTGCAAGCCTTGG